CCATGCAGTTAAATTCTGAAGTGCAAATCACCGTGTTAGAAGGGTGAGTGAAATAGGTTAATCGGGTGGTAGTTGCACCCCGTCACGTCTTCGTTACAGCGGCGAGTGGTGGTACCAAAACAGCCGTTGCAGATGTGTTCTGGTTTTTTATTACTATTATTTTATTCTTGATGGCTTTAAGTAACTGGATCTTTTTTTTGACCACTAATGTATATCATATAGATCATATTTACATAGAGCTCAGTTTATCAGCCCAAATGCTGGAGCTCCTCTGCTCTGACTTAACTGACAGCGTGAACCGGGCACTGTCCAGACAGCTCCAGCTTATCTGCTCTCGTTTTGTCAGGGTATTTATCGAACCATCTCTGACAAGGTTTTATCTTTTTTTAGGTTTTGTACTGGATGGGGTTGACTTGTATCTGGGTCACTCGCTGTGGTTTTTGGGTTTTTTTTAGTTATTGAGGTCTGAGGAGTGGTGTCCAGCAGCGTTGTGTTTGATGCTCTGTGTGCCTTTGTGGCCAACGAGCTGTTTTCGTGACGTTGGGGCTGATACTGATTTTTAGCCTCTAACAGCAAAGTGAAGAAGGAAGTAAACAGTGAAGTAAAAAGTGTCAAAGTTGGCTGCCGGTGCAGCCTTAACTGGAGCAGGAAAATCTAACTCTGGCTACGGAGGAATGGGGAGTCTTCAGGATATTGAGCAACCAGATGACAAAATAGCAAATCTAGTGCTGATAAAAGAAAAGACGTGTAAGGGGGAAGAAAGAAAAACTACTTAGGTAAGAGGAGCTGTAAATCAGCCCTTTTCACACAGAAAGGAGAGCTTTTGAGTTATGCGGATAGCTCATGGGCAGTGGCTGGTGATGGCAGAGGAGATGAAGGGGACGTTGGAAGTGTTGGAGGACCCATGCCGTGGCCATCAGCACGTGGCCCTGCTCCCACCTCCGGGTGGCAGCCACGGGGGCAGGGAGTGGCTGGGGGTCCTGAGCGTGGGCGAGACCTCGCCTCCACCGAGGCACGAGTCGTGCAGAGGAGGTGAAAAGGGAACCGGTCGCGCGTGGTGCAAGAGGAAGGGACACCGAAAGATGTCAGGTAGCCGGCTCAAAGCAACAGTGATGTTTTTCTGAGCAATGTACATATAACTAAAAGAGGGAATTCGTTGCCACCGGACTTTAGGGATCTGTGGGTTCTGGTATATGTTGATGAAGCGGGTTGGAAAAGAGCATTTCATGGCTCTGGAGAATGATGCTTTCAGTGCAGCTGCAGGAAACCCCACAACCAGCAGCTGAGGGCGGCTGTGCCTGGGCAGGATTGCTGCCCCCAGCACAGCGTTTCAACGCTCTCCCCAGGCCCCCCAGCAGCAGCAAGCGAGCCGCTTCGGTGGTCTCTGATCTGACTCAACACAACCTTCTTGCGAAGGTGTAAAGAGGAGAACGGGAAGAGGGGCAGGCGCGCGCTCTCCCACTTCCGTAGCAGCCTTCGCTTGCAAGTAGAGTTTTAAGTCCCAACGTGCAAAACAAAAAAAAAAAAAAAAACCCCGTCACGTCTCTTCTCACGATGACAGTGACACAAAGGAAGCTGTGAGAAGCGGCGCCCGAGGTGTGATGAAATCGTCTGCAGCTGTCGCAGGCGGCGCCTGCACTTTCCGCGGTGCGTGGGTGCGGAGGCGCGTGGCTGTGTGGGAGTCGATGGAAATGGGGGGCTGCGATGTGCGGCCTTCAGAAACACGCGGAGAGCTCTGCTGAGAGCTCTGCTTCCACCCAGAACTGTGTCATCTTCATTCGCCTTGTTGGGTTTGGGTATAAGTAATACTTCCCAAAAAAACCTTGTCTTGATGCTGTATCTGGACAGCTTAAGGTCCCCAGGCATCCCCTGAGACCTTCCCTGGGTCTGTGCTATTGCCACAAATGGCTTTTTTTGGGATCGGGAGGAATGCAGCCTGCCCTCAGCGCGCCCCTGGCTTCCAGGTTCCGGGAGGGTCCTTGAAAGAGACTTCTTTCACTGCCAGATACAGGATAACTCTCCTGAAACGTAACTGCTGCAAAACAAAGAAGAAAATACACCTTTTCTTTTGGCCTATTAAATTAAACCTACCTCTGTTTGTGACAAAAAGCCACTTGTGACTTCAGCACAAAGTCCGCCCGGCGAGGTTGTTGGCAGAGACTTCAGTGCTTTGCTTCTCAGCAATAACAACCCTCTCAGGGGAGAGGTGCTTCTTGAGCAACCAGAGGAAATAATTCATGCAGAATAAAGGGGATGTTTTGGGGTTGGTTTTTTTTTGCTCTCAGTTACATTCTCATTCAGATTCCCAGTCCAGTGCTGCGGACCAGATTTATTACTCAAAAGGCTTTCCGGAGAAAAGATTTCTGTGGGAATATCAGCTTCTTCTGGCTTTGAACAGGCTAACGGCGAACGGCAGCCAGACCTGAGCAAAGTCCGGGTGAAAAGTCGGATCTTCCCTAGCACAGAGCTCGAAGCTGGGCAGAAAAGCGATCAAACAGCAATTGCTCCCTGCTGCTGCTGGGATCGGGAGGGATGGGGATTACTTGTCTTCTCTAAAGCGCCTGTGTGCTGTGTGCCATCCCCACTTGAGGCTTCCTTGGGTGGCAGAAATGCAGCAGAGCATCTCTCTGCTGGTGTGATTGCTCCAGGGCTGAAGCATGGGCTGGTATCATGGATCCCCAGCCATCAACAGGCCATGAAAATACACCTTCTGTTAATCTAAGTAACATCTTGATTCTCCAGGTGCCCGTGGCAACATCAGCCAAGGGCTTGTGAGACCTCTGTGATGGAGAGTGTGGCCCAAGCAAATCCCACCTGGAGCAGAGGTGCCGCGGCGGGGGGAGGGCAGGCAGGTCTCTCCCGAATTCGGCTCACGTGAGCTACCGCGACGATTACACCTCACTTCCTGTAAAAAGGGACGGTTAAAACTAATATGAATAAGCCACGTTGCTATGGCAGCAGGGGAAACGGCTCGTGTGGCACCCACGGTGTTCACTAGGTGGGAGAACTTAAAGCTCGTTGAGGTTTTTCTCATTGAACAATTTCTGAACTTCTGACACTACTTTGTATAACATCTTTTCCCCTCGGAAGCTAAAAGTAGCTCTGGGGGGGGTTGTGCGGGGCCAGCCTGCTCCCCTCCCACGCGCCGGGGACGGGGGACGGCGGCCAGAAAGGACGGCGATGGGTTTGTGCCGGTGCCGGCCCTCAGCTATAGGAATTCACCTCGTCTCGGTAAACCTCTCGCGGGGGGCAGATGAGCTGCTGCAGCTTGCAGCAGTGCGTTTTTGTCCCTTTGCAAGCCAGCGCTTTGCTTTTCTCCCCAGTGCAAGAAGGGAGGTAAAATGATTTTGAAAAGGCGTCTAAAATGTTCTACAGGTGCTGGAGAGGCATCGGCAACCCAAGTGCTGCCACACGTCGGTCCATGCAAGCATGGATGGGAGATGCAGGCGGTTACAGAGGGGAGAGTGGGCCAAGAATTACACTTAAAATTTTTTTTTAAGTGATTTTTTTATCGTATACAATAGGAAATAAAAAAATAGATATTTTTTCATTGCTGTGAACAAATTACAATGTGCTTCGTGGTTTCCATGAATTAGCAGTGCTTACTCAGCTGACACGCTCGGGTACAGACACACTGGCTCAGACTCCTGTAGGGATGAGGTGGTGGAGTTTTGTTTTATTACATGGAAGGGTTTTTAAAAAGAAAAAAAGTCTTTCTGTGTTCCAACCCTCTCTGGGATTCACATCATTTTTCTACAAAATATATATTTTTTTATAAATTAAATCTATAAAACAACATTTGCATTAAATAAAACCTAATACCATCACAGTATTTTTACATTTCAAAAATGTAACATTTCAAATGTTCACAGGAAAACAAATTTTACAAGAAGGTGCAAATGAAATACCAGTCAAGCCCAAAGCTTCTGTTGTTTGATTTTAAAGAAATTATTATTAAAAATAGATCCACAGTTGAGCCTTTCTTAAAAATCTCTCATAGCCTGTTGGGTGGCCCTTTTGACTCTGCTCATAGTGAGTTCCCATTACAGTAAAATTCAGAAAGGTTTGGTTCCTCTGACTGTGTTTTAATCACGCTGCTGTTAATGAAGAGCAAAGGTGATGGTGCAGGGTCAGTTATCAGTGAAAGGGAAATAATTTGCCCCATCTTTGGTGAGAAGAGGACCTGAAAGGCTTGATGGACGTCTAGCTGAATAAATACCCTGGAAGCACAGCCCCGTGGTTAAAGCTTATCCAAGGCAGAGATATGGCTTCAAACCATATGGCTTTCGAGCCAGAAATGGGAACTGATGGCAGAAAAATAGTGTCTGGACGCTTCAATGACTTTGTGATTTGGGGGTATGTCATTTCCTACACCCCGAAATGGAGGCTTGGTTAATTATTCGAATGGCAAGTCCTTTGGGGCCACCTGACGCTCCTCGCTCCGTGGTCAACATGGCTTGAGGCAGGCTCTTGGCACCCTCCAAAGAAATTAGTCACTGCTGGATTGTCTTTTGCTTCAGCAATATATAATACTGTGTCACCTACTAATTTTTAGGATCAAATTCTTTCTGCATAGCAAGACCCCAAAATCTTTGCTGCCTCTTGCTGAAGCCAGGGTGCGTGACCAGGACGTGGCCGGGTAATGGCCCCACCAGTGCCACCGGGGCACAGCATCACCTTTTGCCACGGGTCCACGTCCTCCTCCTACTGCCAAAGCTACCTGCTCCTGGCTGCCCAGCTTAGAAACAGGGCCTGTGGGAATTACACGGTGTTATTTATATTCAGAGAAAATTTGCAACCCAAGTATTAAATCAACATGTTTTCGGTCAGGTTTGGGTTTTTAGGGGGTTTTGTTTATTTTCCTCCAACCCTCACAAATCAGCAGAAGCTTGTCTGAGTCGTCGCTCTCAGTGTCCTGCGGGAAAAAAAAAAAAATTGGGCCAAACCCCAAAACATAGTGAGCATTTGAAGTCCTGGCAACCGTTTGGGGAAGGCCAGTGCTAGTAGTTCATGGGGTCCTCCCTGAGCACATCCCTGGAGTGCTTCCTCACGTAACTGAGGTTGTGGAGCTGAACGCTGTCTTGCAAATCCTGCCTGGAAAGGCGTCTCCTGAACTCATCTGTAGTAAAGTAGTAGATGACTGGGTCCACGCAGGAGTTCAAGCTGGCAAGGCACAAAGCTACAACGTGAAACACCGAGATCACCTTCTGGACGCACCCGTTTTTAATCTTTTTGGTTTTGACAAAGAAATCTAGTGGAAAGCTGATATGATAAGGTGCAAAGCAAATCAGAAATACCAGAGCGCAGGTGAGAATCATCTTTAAAGCCTTTTTTTTCTCTCCAAGGTCATGTGAAGCAGAATTTTTTTCTTTTAGTGATAAGATAGTCTTCCACGAGCAGTATAGGATGATGAGTAGGGGTGTTACGAACCCCACCAATTCACCTATCGTCATCATTGCGATGGAGATGGGAAGGTCAACTTCCATCACGGGGAGATCCACAAAACACGTGTTTTTAGCACCCTGGTGAAGTCTGAGAAGCGGGAAAGGCAAACAGCCAACGCAGACCACGACCCACCCAACGATGCTGATGTACACATCACAGACGCGTTTGCAGTCGCTGAATTTGAATGGGTGCATAAGAAACAAATATCGTCTTACGCTGATGCAAACCAAGAAGTAGATGCTTGCGTACATATTGACGTACTTCAGGTAGAAGCAAAGCATGCAGAGACCTCCTCCAAATTCCCACGTCCCAGTCAAGTAGTAGAAAATCCTCAGGGGCAAGGACAAAACCTGCGATAAGTCGGCAATGGCTAAATTGATCATAAATATTACGGCCCTTTTAGTCTCTTTCATGTACCCGTAAAAGACCCACAAAGCTAATGTGTTTCCTATTAGCCCAGGGACCAGGATGAAAGTGTACGTAATCGCATAGAAAGGCTTGAGGTCTGTTTCGTTGCAGGTCGAACCGTTCGTCATGGTTGTGCTCCAGATCCGTGCTCAGCCCCGGCATGATAACATGTTCCTCACTCGCGTCCTGCAGCCAGGTTGTCCTCAGGTTGTCGGTGCTTAAATAAAAAGGTTCAGCCCTGGCATCCGTGTGTGAGGCTTCGGTTACCAGATCATCGCGTCCGCTCTGGGGAGCAGCTTCCTTATGGGGTGAGTGAGTTAATTAAGGTTCTGCTCGGGTGCTTTGCTCATGCTCTTTGTCAGAAGTTACCGGACCTTACTCTAGCTGCTTGCAGGATTGACAGGGAGGGGATCCACACCGAGAAATGCATCGTCCTGTGCCGAAGCAGTTGACAGTTCGTCACTGGAGCTGCACCTCTGTCACCTTTTGGGTGGCATTTCAGCCACTTCTCTCAACACAGGAGTTTGACAACTGACACGGCCCTGCAGCTGAAAGACAGAAAGGTCCAGTTATAACACTGCGGGGAGACACGGGTCTTACAAAGCAAAAGGTACGGGAAGCTTGCAAGAGCGGCGGAGCATCTCTCTAGCAGAAACCTATTGCTAGTGGCATCTGTGGTGGTCAGCTCTTCTCCCGCCGAACAAGCGCCATGCCTCGCCCAGTGAAGGGAGGTGCAAAACCACTAAGGAATAAATAGAAAATGTGTTTAATTGCTGCTACAAACCAGCCTCCCGTGCGGTACCGCCAAGCAGAAGTCACCCCCGGTCGCAGGGCGTATTTAACTTGCTGCCAGGTTTCTGCAGCTGTGTCTTTCCCAGCTCCAGCTTTTCCATCCGAATCTCCCTTTGCCTCCGGTTGCGTTGGCCTCCCCGTGCCCGAGCGCACGGCCAGCGCAGAGATGCGCCGGCAAGCGCCGTGCCTGCATCCCTCCTCGCTGCCTTGCCGCGGGCAGAGGGACACTCTCGCCTCACACAGCACTCGTGAGTTTAACGCTCCCCTGGTCTTCCCAGGAAAGCCCTTCTTCCCGCCCGCACCACGGCTATGGACAGCCGACAAGGTGACAGAACGAAACCTGCTCCGAATGTAAATGAGCCTGACACGCGCCCGAGAAATGAACGTTTTCCTCCGGTGCAGCTGCTGCTGCTGCAGCACGGAGTGGAAGCCCCAAGTCGGCGGCTTTCACTGAACCGGGGTCAACTTTTTCATTCATCTTTCATAAATAGAATATAAAACATACTTGCATGCAAGCAGGGACAACTGGCCCACATTAAACACTCTCTGCTGCAGAACTACTTGCATTATATTAAACTTGACTTTCTCACAACTGCCTTTTCTAAGACTTTCCTTTACCCATCTTGCACATGTGACTGCTGTGGCTGTTGGAAATACCAGATATTGTCACTAAGGTGACTGTAGGGGGACTTTATTTTAAAATTGTTTGCATGGTAAGCAGCTGATATTATCTGAATCTGTCAGACACAAAAAAAAAACAACCAGATTTGATAAACATAGAGGAAATTCAGATCTCTGTCCAAACTCTCTTAGGTTTGCCTTTTGCTTCAGCATGAAGAATTAACCTACAGGTCTAAGTGGGAAAAGTCTGTAGGTACCAACCAAGATGCCAAAGGCACATTTATAAAGGCAAAATTATATCCTGCTGCAATCCCCGATGTTTCTTCCTGTGCTTTGAGGCATAGGCGTTAAAATGTGAACATTTATTAATGAAGCTGATGTTCAACACTCGCCAGTGTGATTGCACCGAAACTGAAGTAGCTCTAGGTGGAAACAGAAGATCTTCTACAAAAGGAAACGGTTCGGGGGGGCAGCTTTTCTGTGTCTATTTGTGTAGTTTCTCTTGCATACCATTGAGTAATGAGTCCAATGAGACCAAGATGTCTTCCTTTCTTCCAGGGAGCCAGCATCTAACATAACCCATAGAGCAAAACGGCTCGTGAAATAATCCCGTTAAACTTCAGAAGCGATGATTGATAAGCCGTAGAGTTAATTAGCTTTCTGTTCGAAGACTTTCCAATTCTTTTATTAATTCTCCACCCAACTTCTGATGCACAAACCTGAACAACTAATTCTAGAAATGTGAGTAACCTCTTCGTCATACAGGAAAACTAATTGGTGCTCACCTACTCGTTGGGTTTTATCCATCACTGGTAGGTAACTTGGGCTGAGAGCTTCAGTTTCCATTTGCTGGAGCTTGACTGGCACGAGTAACTGGGAGGGGGTTGTGGATGTGGCTGGTTTTTGGCAGTACCTGTCATGCCCTGGGGTTCCCTGGAGCTTCAGAGCTCACCCTCGGCAGCTGGTTAACCCCTTTGGGGCTTCCTGACAGCGGCGCCCGCTTTGGGCAGGTTCCTCCCTTCTCCTCTGTAGATGGAGCCAAACCAGTTGGCCAAAACCAGTACATCCTTCCCGAGTGGTCAGAAATTGCCTTGCTGGGCTTGAAAAAATGCGGAGTATAGGTACAGGCAGAGCAGGCTGCGCTGGCAAAGCATCCAGAGCTGCTTAGTGGGGACTGGTACTTACAGAGGATGGGAGGGATGCTCTCTTTCATGTTGGTTTTCCATGGCGATGCTGAGGCCCTGTGAAGACGTGCCCGACTTTACTGTTACAGCAAACTCCTCAGCATGATGTGTCCGGGCTTCCCATCCAGGTCCTGGTCCTGCCAGGGTGTCCAAGCAAAACAACCGCGTTGTAGGTCCCTGGGCTGTGCCCAGGCAGCGGGACTGGGGCACCAGTGGCCGGGTGCATCCTCTCACTCCCGGAGAGCTCCTCTATTCCTCTTGGCTTCCCAGACACCAGCACCGTCCCCTAGGACGTGGGCAGCCTGCCCGGCAGAGCGAGGGTGGCTCGTGAGGAGCTGCACAGCTTTGCCTTGGGTTGGTTTTTCACTTTTTTTCACCCAGAATGTCTCAACTTCTGGCCTGAAGTTTGCTCTGAAACGCCAGCAGCGAGGAGCTTGGGTGACTTTGCGGTGCCATCACTCGCTGCCCATGCAGGTGTCCCGCTCCTGCAGATGCGCATGTGCCCGGCTGGCACCGCTCCCATGAGCACTGCTCGGGCTGGGCTACGCCTGGCTGGGGAGCACCTACAGGGGCGTTTGCAAGATAAAGCCCTAAACCCGCGTCACCCAGCTCTTCCTTCCAGTGATTTGTTTAATTTTTATTTTTTTTTTTAAACAAGCTTGTCTTTCCTCTCATCTCTTGCCCAGGGGCTCCTATCACCCAGTCAGGGAGGCTGAATCATGCTCCTTTTCCTCTGGCTGCGTTCCTGGGTGGGTAAATCCACCCTACCTCCATTGCTGGGCCACGAGACATGCAAAGGGAAGGACGAGGTGCAGTCCCAGCCCATCTGTCTGTTCAGAGCCCAGTGCACACACGTGTGCACACTAGCATTTTTCCTGCTGCCCCCCCCCAGTGCCTGCGTTTCCCCATCCCCACTGCACAGCAATTTTCCTGCAATGCCTCCCTTTGCTCCTTCCAGCCCGGCCCCGGGCCAAGGGATGCGCTTCCAGCACCTTCTGCCTCTCCCTGCGGCTGTAGACCCGCAGCACGAGGGGTCCCAGGAAGCCCAGCTAAAGCCGAGGAGCAGCGAGGGTGCTCGCCCAGGGCACCCAGAAACACCCCTGCGAGCGCGGCCACCCTCGACGTGTGGGTAAAAACACGGCAATGTGAGAACCTGCGCCTTGGAAATCCCGAGCAGTAACATTGCAAAATTCAGCCAAATGTGCTATGTAAAAAACAGCAGGATGCTAAAAAAAGCTCCAGAAAGAGGAAATTTTGTTTCGCGTGCTCTGCTCGCTTCCCCTCGGCGCAGGGGGCTGGCTGTGGCAGTAGGTGCGAGACTGTCCCCAGGCGCGGCTTCCTTCTTCCCCTGAACGGTTTTTCCCCCCTGTTTTGCCAAGGAGACCCCCCGGGTCAGCCACGTCAGGGCGCTGGGTGAAGGCTTCTCATTTGTAACTTAATGAGTCAGAAACACCAGGTAAGTTTTGTAGCCAACCTTTACAACCAGGGCTTGTTAACGCTTGTTAAATCTGGGCACGTATTGCGTCAAGTATTTTCTATATGCCGAAGGGGAGCCGTATATCCATACACTCCATATGAACAAGCGCAGGAGCTGGGGATGTGGGAGCAGTCACAGCCACACCACCTGCGGGCTGCTGGGCTCTGCTCCGTGCCCACGCCAGAGCCCATCACAGCCTCCATGAGTACTCAGGCTCCTCACCTGAGGGTGGTTATAACTGCCCGGGTCAACCCAGGACCCTCGTTAGCAAATCCTGTGGGGTTTACCCCAGGAAGCAAAGCCACAGCAGCTCTTAAAACCCAGCTCGGTGGAGGAGAGCCTCTTAAACAAGTTTGGGGGAAAGCAGCCCGTGGCTGGGCACTGTTTGTAGGTGTTGCCCCTGCTGCAGCATCATGCCCAGTCCCCTCTTGGAGCTCAGGTCCTTAGGGGACCTAGGATGCTGCCCAACACCTCCTGCTCCTCCCAGAACCAGGGTAAGAGATCAGCCTGGCTGGATCCTGCCACCGAGCACCATTCTTGCAAGGACTGCTGCTGGCCCAGGTGAGCAGTGGGTGCGTAGGCACCCCGTGTTTGGTGTGGGGCTGGTACTTACGCTATCAGAACCTGTAACGCCTGTGGCAGAGGTGATACGGGCAGAGCAACAGCGGGTGCTGCCCCTCGGGTCATCTGCTGACTTACCCTTTCAGGGGGAGGCTTGGGTGTGCTGCTGGCTGGGACGTCTCTTCTATTTTTCCTCCTCTGTGGCCTAAAATAGAAGGAGTATGTGCACAGGGGCAATTTCAAACAGAAATTT